CCTTATACGTGGCTGCAGCAAAACTAGGCCCCAAACAAACTCCAGCCCCTGGGCATCCCCCTGGCACCTCCTGCCCATCGTCCTGCCCCGGCGCCCCAAGCCAACCTGGCCTTGGACACTTCCAGGGATGGGGCAGCCACAGCTTCTCTGGGCAACCTGTGCCAGGGCCTCCCCACCTTCCCAGGGAACAATTTCTTTTTGATATTCCATCTAACCCTGCTCTTTGTCAGCTTGAAGCCATTCCCATCTATCCTGGCACTCCAAGCCCTGTTAAAAGTCACCCACATTGACGATTTCACCCAGCATTTGCCACTGAGGGATAACGGGTCCGTAGCCACCCGGCCAGCTCACCCCACCTTCTGCTGGATGAGCAACAGGAGGGATTTCAACACAAACCAACCTGGCAGAGATATCCAGTGCCTGGGGCCAAACACTTGGGAGGCTAAAAATAAACCAGCAGCAGTGGGGGAGCTACCAAGGTCCCTCCTCTGCTCCTGCCCATTGCCCCAGCCAGCACATTTCCTCAGCACTGGGGTGGCATGATGGAGCAAAGCCCCAGGCTGGCTCAGCCAGCAAGGAACCAATCCATTTTCCTGGCTGGAAACTGCTGCAATCGTAGAATTTCCTTTCCTTTCTCAGAGAATTCCACCACCCGCCACCACATACCCCCGTAACTACAAATCAATATGTTTATAGTTTGCTCTTAAACTAATGCCCTTTAATTCCCTGCATTACTGCCGAGCAATGGAGCCAATTTTTGTGGCTTATTGTGAAAGAGCAGAAAATGATGATGCCAGAGTGAGTTTAAAATCTACAAAATAGATCACAGTGGGTGGGATGCGGTTCTTGGGAAAAGAGCATCTTCCTCGCACCCACTCTGCAGCCTGGCTGTCATTTTGGCACCCTCACCGTGGCTCCCACACCTCCACCTGAGCCCCACTGTGGCCTCAGGAGCACCAGGACCACCATCCCCAGCCGTGCCCACCCCAAGCTGGCCCCAGAGCCACGCTGCAGCACCGGCAGAGCTCTGAGCATGCCTGATTGCTCAGCTATTGCAGCCTCAGAAATAACACACAGCTAGTCCTGGACATGGGCAACAGCTCTGCAAAGGGAACCCTGAAAGCCAGTCTTCCCCAAAATGACTGGAAAAAAAGAGCTAAAATGTGCTCGTCTGAAACAAGTGCACGTTTTTAAAAGTGCTTCATGATGTTAAGGGTTCCTGGCCTGGCAGTGCTGCTGTGAGTAGGAACACTCAGAACTGTATTTCTCTCCCAGTTTCTCTGCCAGGAGTCCACACCAAGTCATTTCCACCCAGGACGTGTTTTGTGCACCCACAACTGCACACGTGCAGGTCACACTCTTCATTCAGGCTGCACTCACACCTCAGGGCCTTCATCAATCTCCAGCTCAGCAGAACCCTCTGACTGTGGCCCCACAAGGTTCTTAAACACAATCCCAAATCCCATTCTGGCCCTAAGCTGTGAGCACCTGGCCCAAGTTAAGCTCAGGATTAAATCCCCCTGGAAGAGGATGTGATCCAAGGTGGTTCCTTCAAGTCTCGGGAGTTACCACCTCCTGGGACACAACACCAAACTGCATCTCTGAGCTACCCCAACGAGACATCAGAAGGATTAATAAATTAATTAGTATTAAGCACTTTTCAGTGAAAGGATCTATGAAAGCACGAAGAATTACATCATTTATTATTCAGTATTATTATCACTCAATGTTGACTTCTCCTGCACTCTCCTGTGTGGCACCAGCCCTGTCTGCAAGGAGGGTTAAACAGCCCTGCAGCCTTGCTGTCCCCACCAGCACAATTCCAGCACCTGGCAGATGGTGAGTTTGGCAATGCCAGGTATTCCTGGGCACTCAGGAGCCCAGAGACACAGAAAGGCACACAGAGATGGGTCCAAACCAACAGGATTTGGGCAGCTGGCACTTCAAAGAAGCCCTTCCATGTCTTTAGGTGTCCAAGTGCCATTAAAATCTGGCCCCCAGCACTGTAAGTCAGGAGCAGAGTGGGGAGGGGAGCCAAGGGATGAGGTTTCCAGGCTCCTGCCTTGCCATGTCCAGTTCCCAGCAGGGCCTGGGACAACCTGCTCTGAATGCATTCAGGGAAATGTTTCTCACAGCTCACGGAGCCCGTTGATGGCTGCCCTGCAGTATCCTCAGCTCAGCCTCCTTGTCCACAGCTGCCCTGGCACCTGAGCCTTCCCATGCTGCTCTCCTGGCTGCTCCCATCTCCTGCTTTGCCCAGGATTGCTGCAGCTGAGGCAAGGCCAGAGAAACACCACAAACAGGAGATGGAGAGCTCAGAGAGGACAAGGGACACAAGAAGCCACCGGGCACTGAAGAGCAAGAAGATGTCTTCTGTGTCCCAGGGATGAGATAAATTAGCAGAAAAGCCCCATGGGGGGTGACATTTCCCTCTGATCCTGCAGAACTGAGAGGGGCCTTTTTGGTATTTGTTTTGTTTTGTGTGGAAATCCATACAATCAGAAAATTATGCAATGGAAGGAAATCCCAGCGTGGGAGAAACCCTTCACGTACCACAGCCACGGCTCACGCTGCCACGGGAACCTCCCTGGGACAAATGCAGGTTTGCATCAGTTTGGGCTGCTAGAGACATCTGCCCAGATGTGCTGTAGCAACAGCAGAAGCAGCACCACACACAAGCACTTGCTTGGTAACACGGCAGGGCATGGGATGGGCAGCAAAGGCCAGGGATGCTCCTGTGTCTGCCAGAAGTGTGCCTAAATATCAACATGCTGTGGAAAAAACCCTTTTCCAAGCAGCTCCCGAGAAATTCTTGAGCAGGGCATGGATTTGTGTGTCTGATTGTCCCCTGCTCCAGCTGTTCCACCAGCCACAGCACCGGGGTCTGGATCAGTTCCTGGCACTGTACTCAGCACAGCCCTGCCCTCCTGCCTGCCTCTCCTCTGCCTGCCTTCCCCAAAACACAGAAGGAAATTGGTATCTTGCCAATCTCCCATGGTCTGAAGATAAACCAGAGCTCTCAGCCGTGCCTGGGAGGGCCCTGTAAAGTCTTCACCAGACAAGGGAATGCACGCTCGCCTTGACAGCTGCAGAGAAGGGGCAGAAGTGCACAGCAAAAGTAATTAATCCCAGAGATGAGAGGTGGAATGAGCGGAGCTCAACAAACAGACCCTGGAATTAGCAACAGCTCGCCCTGACAGGCACCACACCACCAGCCACATGCTGCTGGGGCACGTTGGGATGCTGCACCAGCCACGCAAAAGGCCACGTGCTGCTGGGTGCTGCTGCCTCACCTGCACAGGTGCAGGGATCTTTAAAAAGAGGCAGTGAGAGGTCCAGAGCAGGCAGGCAAAGCTCCAGGCAGACTGGAAACTCGTTGAGGAAGGGATCAGAGGACCACAATCTTTGTTTGAAAGGGTGCAGTGGAAAGGGGAGGGCACCCAAAGGAGAGGAGCAGAAAGTTGGGAATGAAGTGCTTCAAAAAAGCAATGACCTGCTGGCCTTATCCAGCTAAGAGACATCCCTGTGCCCAAAGACATTGGCTTCACCAGCGCTGTGTTTGGCTGGCTTCAGCTGTAACTGAGACTAGGGGCACCTCTGCCTGTGTGCCCCGTGCCAGCCCCACCGGTGTTGGCACCTTCCTGGGCAGAGAAGCCACCCCAGGCGTGCAGAAAGCCCAGCACACAGGAGATCACCAGCAGACAGGGCTGTGCTGGGGCTGGCAGTTCCCAAATTCCCCTCCATCAGAGATCAGCTGGGCACAGTGGCTGCAAACCGATTGCAGCACAGCTCTACCGGCACCTGGCCCGGCGCGGCTGCACTCCCGTGGGCGACAGCTGCAGTGAGGACACCGAAACCCAGCTCGGCTCCAGCGGGGGCTGTGCCCACCTGGCACTGCCACCTTCTCACTGCTTCCCCCCCCAGATTACCTTGAGGAAGCCCAGCCGGGGTACCCCAACCTCTCCTACCATTGCACCCGGCTTGGCTATGCGGACATGCCCCCAGCACCTGCCCTCCTCCCGCCGCTGCCACAGAGCAACCCCGCGTGTAGGGTTGTGCAATGCACCAGTATTGCCTCTTCTCCATATGGGAGAACTTGCTGCATCCTAATCTATTGCCTTTTTGGGTAAGCGCTGCCGTGGGACTGCAGCAATGACAGAGGGGAGAGCTCGCAGGTCTGCTGCACGTTTGGGGAATATCTGCGACCTGCAAGCGGGGAGGCAAACTTGAGCCACCAAAGCCTTTGTTTCCTTTGTGCATCCTTCAGGGAAAAAAAAATGATTTTGCTAAAACTGGATGGCTGAGGCACCAGCCACGTTAATTAGATTACGGTGGAGGTCCAGACGGGAAAGCCACTCGTTCAGAAAATCAGGTTATTAAACCGATACTGAGATACTGAGATAAATATCGAACTCGCCGGTGTCTGGCTCTTCTCTCCACTTCAGAGCGCAATAACAAAGGGAACCCCTCCAACTAACGCACCCAAACTTTGGAAGCCACCCAGAGGCTCGGCACCCCGCTCCGGGAGCTGCTGCCGGGCTCCGGGGGGGCGGCGGGGGGACGGCGATCCCCGCGGCGGGCCCTGGGTACCGGGACCCGGGCAGCCCGGGGGAAGGATGCTCGGGGCAGGGGCGGGGGGCGGTGCGGGAGGGCGCGATGCTCCGCTGGGCGCCGCGGGCGGGCAGGATGCGGCCCTGGCCCCGCCGTTCCCGGAGGCTCAGAAATAGGCCACGGAGGATGGTTTTTGTAAAAAAAGCCACCGCGTTCCCCTGGCCCGCTGCCCCTCTCCGTGTCTCCGCCGCCTTATGGGTTTTTTCCTCCTCCCAGGCCAATCCCTGAATTCTTCCAACAAAGCCCGGCCGAGCCTGCGCCCTCCCCGGGAGCGGCCCCGCAGGAGCCGCCGCTCGCCGCGGCACCGACCCGGGGGAGCGGCGGGGCCGGGCGGCAGCGCGGATCCATCACACCCCCGGCATCCCCCCGGCATCCCCCCGGGCACTCACAGTACGTTTTCCTGGTCAGCTCTTCCACAACTTCAGGCTTCAACTTGCTGTTGGATTTGCCCATGGTGGCGGCAGCTCCTCTGAGCCCGCCGCCTCCCGGCCTCGCTGCGGGGCACGGAGCGGCGGGGCCGCTGCCTCGCTGGGGCTCCCGGCCCGGCTACATCCCGCGGGGGGCGGCGGCCAGCGGGGCGGAGGGGTCTTTGTTGGCGAGGTTTGGCCGCAGAGCCGCGCTGCGTGTCCGTGTGCGTGTCCCCGGCTCCACGCGCCCTCCCCGCCCTCCGCCGCCGGGCGCGGAGCGGCCGCGGGGGCGCGGAGGGGCGGGGGGCGGCGCGCTCCGCCCCGCGCTGCGGGAGCGGGATGGGAACGGGGATGGGGATGGGGAGGGGGCTCCGGCACGGCCCCGCCGCTCCCGGTGGCGGGAGGACCCCGCAGGGAGGGGGATTCCAGAGCGGCCCCCGCCGCCGGGACCCCCCCGAGCCGCCCCGCGGGGATGGGCGGAAACGCTCGGAGGGAAATGTCGGGAATCGGGGTCCTGCTGGGGGGCTGATGGGGAGCGGGGGGATGAGGAGAAGGGGAACTGGCGGTGGGAACACAGAGCCTGGAGTGAGGCTGAGCCCGGAGTCCGGGGTGACCTTGGTGGGACATCAACACCTTCAGTTGTAGAAGCATTTTCCAGCCCCTGGGTTCCCCAGATGAAGAGGGGTCTGTTCCCCACGTGGAGGAGTCAGATCCATGTGGGTCCCTTTTAACTCAGGGTGTTCAGGCTGAGAGCTGGATTTGCTCAATCTGGGGAAGAGAAGGCTCTGTGAGTACCTCAGAGCCCCTTCCAGTGCCTAAAGGGACTCCAGGAGAGCTGGAGAGGGACTTTGGACAAGGTCATGAAGGGACAGGATGAGGGGGGAATGGCTTCACACTGACAGAGGGCAGGGTTTAGATTAGGTATCAGGAAGAAATTCTTCTCTCTGAGGGTGGTGAGGCCCTCGCACAGCTTTCCCAGAGAAGCTGTGGCTGCCCCATCTGTGGAAGTGATCAAGGCCAGGATGGGGCTCTGAGCAATCTGGCTTAGTGGAAGGTCTCCCTGCCTGGAAAGAGGATTGGACTAAATGATCTTTAAGATCCCTACCAACCCAAACCCTTCCGTGATTCTACCATTCTCTCACATCAGGGCTCCACTGTCCCTTCACTCACTCTTTGCAATGTGTAAATAGAGATTTGAAGTTCAATCACTTCAAAAGCCCCACAGATTCAACCTACAGCAGGTTTGTGGTGCAGCCAGGAAACCATACAAGTGCTAGAAGCAGCGGCACCCAAGCTTTTCCCCACCTCAAGCCCATGCAGGGCTTTGTGCCTCCACAACAGCTCGGTGCCTGTGTGCAGTCATTAGCTGTACCGATGCACACGATAAATACAGTTTTCTTCCTGCCCATGTTGCAATGAGGGCTCTGCTGGAGCTGCCTGGGCATGCCTGGACTCCCGTGGTAGCAGCTAGAGGGGAAAAATCTATGCCTGGATACAGCAAAACCTGTCTGTGAGGCTGTGGAGAGCCCAACACAACACACACGGGGTGTTTGCAGAGGACACAGAGGAGCACAGCTGACACAGCACTGCTCTTTGCACCTTTATTGTTTTTAACCAGCCAAACGTTGCCTGACACTCACTTCTCCAGGGATACATTCCCCAAGTGGATGTTTCTAAAATGCCTCGTCCTCCATTACCCAGCCTCACACAAACGAGCTCATTAAGGCAGAAGGGGATAAAAACATCATCACCATGTCCCAGCAGCAGCACAGCCTGGGGGATGAGCTGGAGGGATGGCACTGAGCACAGAGGATTGGCAGCACGAGGCAGTCAGAGCTCTGTGAGGTCGTGTCTCCCCTCCAGCATCCCTCTCAGCATGGCTTTTAGGGACAAAGACCTGCCTGCAACTCCAATAGGCCTCAGCAGATTCCAGTCTAGCCCCCAAATGTGCTGGAAAAACATCCTGTGTAGCCCCCTCCATCAGCAAAACTCAATTTTTGCAGAATTTCCCTTCATCTGTGCTCTCTTGGCTGTAACCACATCGCAGCAGGGGTGTTCTTTTGTGTGCAGAGCATGACCTGTCAGTGCCCAGCTGGGGGTCCAGCGAGGTCCCAAACCTTCCCTGCACAGCACAGGCATTCTAGCACAGGCTCCTCTGCTGCTGCAAAACTGATGTTGAAAGGATTTAATTCTATTTAAAACTCTACTCTGCCTCCATCACACAAAACACTGAGGAGAGAACTCAAATCACACAGACGAGAGGAGAAAAGTAATTGGAAACTATGCAAGCCGCTCACTTTCACTTCCCAATTATTAGCTTTAACCCTATTACTGTTTAAATAACAACTCTAGTGACATTTTCTAGAATGAAGTGACATTTCTACAGGCAGAGAAACACAGCCCAAGCCTGGAAAAACTCCTGGGGCTGACAGGATTGAAATCGGAACAGCAACTGGGACACAAAACAATCGTGCCCAGCTGAATGTGGTCAGTGTGCCCGGGAAGGAGCTGGGTTGTTTGCTCAGAGGAAAATCCACTGCAGGCCAGTCCTTGGAGAGTAGTTTTGCTTCATAAATGCCCCTGGCTTTCTCTTCCAAGACAGACCTCAGGCACTGCTCCCATCTCTCACCACCAGCAACTGCAGGACAAGCTCAGAGCCAGCCCAGCCCTGACCCGGGCTGGCTTTTTGATTAAGCAGTGTGTGCTTGCAGGGCTTCCGCTGTCTGATCCACGCAGTGCAGCCATGGAAATGAGCGTTCCCTGGGCAATATTTGCTGCTGCTGCCGTGGCCAGAGCGGGTTCCTGCTCCAAGGGAAGCTGCCACCCCTCCTGCCACGCCAGCACTGGAGGTTGGGATGGATGCTGCACGTTCTGACTGTAAAAGCTGAGAGTTGTGTGGGCTGCACAGCCGAGTGTGTGTCTGCAGAAAGCTTTTCCTTCCTCGGGTATCTGCTTGGAAGTGTTTAATAAATCCCCGGAGTTTTTTTGCCCAGGACACAGCGAGTCTGTCAGGCTCAGCCACGCAGCCGTTTGTTCCACGTGGGCTCACCAGGCTGTGCACATTTAATAAGCATCTCAGACGCCATCACGGGGGTTTTCCCCAATGTATCCTTCCTGATTTAATTGCCAGGATTGCAGCTGCCTCGTGGGAATAGCACTGCATGCAAGCAGCGAAGTGCAGACTGTCCCAGTCTCTGTACTCCATCACAAATGGTCTTTTCTTTCTCCCTTCATCCTCCTCACTGATGTGCTCAGACCTAAAAAAATCATTGGTGTCCCACAGCCCAAGCACAGCACCCACTGAATCCCACCTCGGCACGGCTGGAGCTGTTTGTGGGGTGGGAAGCTGGGGATGGGGCAATATCCAGTATGGCACACTGGCACTCTTAGATGTGCTTCGCCGCAGGAGCTGCCCCAGGAAAGGGAGAAGAGAGGCAGGGGATGGACTCTGGTTAGCCCATCCCATCCCCTTCCTCGCTCCTCCCCTTCCCAGGGCTGGACGAGGCGCCGCACGGGGTCTGCTCAGGCTTCAGGCTTCCTCCAAACCGCTTTTCCCTACTGCATCACGAAACCCACCCAGCCACCCACCCATCCATCACAGCTGTCTTTGTGGCCAGTGTCACCCCCAGGCCTGGCAGCTTGTGAACATCTCCCTTCTACATCCACCCACCCAAAAGCAGATCGAGAGGATGCTCCAAAACCAACAGACCACATGAGCGAGGAATCTGTGACTGGAGACACCAGCCCGGCAGTGAACTCACGGAGCAGAGCACACACAGCCTGTAGTTCGTGCTTTTTTTGTGGAAAAGCCAAGTTTTGCTCAGAGTTTTCTCGTGCCAAAGCAGGAGTGGGTCAGCAGGGGAGTGGTGAAGCATCAGAGCCTGGAATAGGGAAGGAACATATACACAGAGGAGATTAATTATATCAACTACAAAAATAGTTGCTATTTTAAGGTTAATGCTTGAGTGAACTGACTCAGTCAGAAAAAGAGCCAAAGGAATTATTGGCATCAATGCTGGCTGCTCCCCCAGACAAGGCATGGTCACCGCTGGCACAGAGAGCTACCAAAATAGCTGCTTTTCCAGAGGGTTTGAAAAAAAAAAAAAATGCCATTAGAGTGAGTTCAACATCCTGGTTCAAAAACCACAAGCACAGGAATGCATCAGCTCTTCCTGGGGACACCCTCGGCTTCCCAGGCATCACCCGCATCTCGGATTAAAGCCATTTTACATATGGATGATCTCAAGACTGTGAGCAGCGTTCAACGGGACTCCACAGCTTCCAGCTCACCAACCAGGGTGTCCCTGAAGCTGTTTTGTGCTTGACAAGATGTGAGTGAGCTGCTCTTGCTTCGCCCCTGGTATCACTGCAGGTCACAGCAAGCACCCAGCGCTGGCATTTACCAATTGCTCTGAAAGCTGAGCTGTATATGACTAAATGAGAAAGCCCTCAAAAATCAAGATTTATAACCCGTAACACTCCAAGATTCGGACTACAGCAGCTCTAATGGCTATCACTGCCATAAATTAATTTTCCATCGCGCAGCATTTTAATGCCAATACATCACATGGCTGCAGAGAAACGCGACAGACACAAAACACTCCGGGTTTTTGGGGAAAGTGGCAGCAGGAGTGGTGCCCTGCAGGCTCTTTCCCCAGGAAATGGAAGGGTAGATATTGAAATGATGGCCAAATGCAGCGGAAGGTCTGGGAATCAAACTGTGCCAGGGCTGCACGTACAGCTGTCGCCCGAGACTGACACGCAGCCGGCACGCTCAGCGTTACAATTTGCCACGCTATTAATTTCTCGGTTAAATTCTAGTTTATTTTTTAAAGCCTGTATTCTCTTTACAGCCTCTGGGGCTGTAATTGTTATGCTAATGTAGGAAGCCGGGAAGGGCGGCTGTGGGGAACTCATCAGCTGTTCTCCCGTTGCCTGCAGTTTGCAGGCAGCCCTGGGCTGAGACAAAGCCAAGCAGGAGGAGGTTTTGTGGATCTTCCTTCGATCTTCCTTCGTGGCACATCACAAATTCCGGCTGGTAAGTGGGAAATCACCCTTGTTCTGCTCCTGCAGAGCTCAACCCAGCCACCTTGAGCCAACGCTTGATTCTAGACAGATTGAAAATAAAAGGCTCCTTGTAAGGACAACCGAGGAGTGCTGTGCATTTTGTCTGGGTGAGATAAGATCACAGTCACAGAGGCAGCAGTAGCATTTTGCAGCAAAGACTCTCAACAATATCCACCAGCACCCTCAGGGCTGGAGAAGGGGCTGGAGAAGCTGC